GACTAGCTTCAAGATGAAACTTCTGGAATTCTAGTGAGAAGCCGTGACCATTGGAATCTAATCTGCGTTGGGTGTGAGACAATTATTCACTACAGTCATTAAATAAAGAGTTGCGCAATATTATGAGTTGATTGAAGTTAGACATTAACACTGTTGTATGCCGACTCAGTGGTCTAGAGGTTGGGCGTTCGCGAGCGAGATCGAAGACTTTTGGCTTAAGTTTCACGTGCAGAATCGTAGATCCACAATGCCAAGGTGCCCCGTACTAGGATGAAACAGCCATCCATTGGTTTCAGGTTTTCAATGGTGGTTTAGCTTAGAATTACAAGTGTGAGAGTGTACTCAATTTTATTTCTTTTTCTTCATGAAATACCTAGGTTAACCAGCTTACTACAATGACTGTAGATCCCGACAACAATAAAAGTCTAATGCTCTTCATTCGATCTTTTGTAAAGCGACGGAACCATAGACTTTGCCTAAGAACATTGAGAAATTAATCGGAGCTATGATTGATTGACTATCTCGTCACCTTCATCAATTCATCTACTATAAGAACATGACCGAACGATCGACATATATAACCAATAGCTTGCCTGGTTTACTATATGCAGGATATTTAGAGAAACGTCTTGATGAGGATGTCATAAGAACTTCATACTACAAAATAACTGTATTATTGTTTTACAAACTTAGGTCAAATCGATATGATGATTATTTGCCGAACATCATGTACAAATGATATTAAATAGTGTGTGCAATGACAGATTTTAATGACCCCTTTATATTTTTACCATATTATCACTAATCTAAGAAGCACAATTGTGTCTGGCTTAAATTACAGACCGTACAGCTGTTAACAGTTATGTTACGTTTTAGACATGTCAACAGTTTACCTATGTTAAAAATGGTCATCCGTCCAGTATAAACAGTTTCTCATAATAACAGAATTTTGCTTAGCAATTTTAAATTGAAACATCATCTGAGAGCAGAAACAAGGAGAGTCGGTTTCGAACTATTTTTTTTTGAATACATAAGAACTGCTTCAATTTTTTAATACCAACAGTACAAAAGAGAATTGATGCAACCATGAAACTAGTCAAAGGATAAGCAAAGATGGATAGTGGCTAGAAGTGGAATCCACAACGCGCGTTTCACCCTATTTGGAAGTCGTCAGATGGATGTACCTGCATCTCAGAGTTGATGTTCACTCTAGGACTCGAACCCAGTAACTTTTGCTAAAAACGCAATCGCATTATCCCACAGTGAACATCGACTCTGGGATGCAGGTACATTCAACTGACAAGTCCCAATTAGGATGAAACGCTCGTCCTGTATTCCACTGCTAACCAATATCCATCTTGACTTATAATGCTTGTGAACCAGGGAAATATCGAGGCAATGCGAACAGGATGTACATATTTCAATAAGAGATTATTCAAATGAAATCCTAAAGAACAACGGGAAGATACAAGTAAAATAAAACTAAGTGAATTTATTACATATATATCTTATTCATGTTCTAAGGAAATTCTGAATTAGTGAATAAATGATTAGAATGATCTGAGAAACGAGATCCACTTGAATGTGAATCACATGAATCTTTATTGTACACTAAGTTATTTCGCTGAATAAATAATAAAAGTAGTTCGAAAATTTGAAATTTGCAATGAGGAGGAAGATTAATTCCCAACTTTTCACTACCTCACGAAAGAATTCGTTTTCGGATTAAATGCTTTCCATCAATAAACTCATACATGCACATTGAAACAAGCAAAATGGATGATAGAACCAATGAATTGTATCGAAAAAAATGTATGAAACTACCGTTAAAGCAACTGACCAATTTAGGTGTTGCCTCAATTTTGTGTGTCGAATTTTACTACTCACATATCTAATTAAGTAGTCAAGAATTAAAACAAAAATGTTTGCACTGCAAATAGATTTCTCAATGTTGTTTTTTATTTTCTTAGATGATTTCAATAAATATCATTTGAATATATATAAGCATTTCAAAGTGATTCATTCCGGGCATAATAAGGAAAGAGATGAAAATCTATGCAAGTTCAGTGATTTTATTTAATTAAGTTAATTGACAATTAGACCGTATATATTAACAGGATATTAGGCCGATTACCGGGTATGCAAAATTTTACTTTGTCAGAAGGGGATTTTGTGACAATTTCAGTATTTCCAAAGTTGAAACCATGAGTCACTTGAAGCTAGACCACCAGAGAAAACCTGGAAGAACTGGATTGCCGTTTCGTCCTATTATGGGACTCCTCAACAGTTCACATTCACGATCGCGCACTTACGAGATTCGAACCCAGAACCTACCAGTCTCGCACCAGAGCACTTAACCGATAGATCACTGAGCCGGCATCCAACGATGTTAATGTCTAACTTCAACCAATCCACGAAGTTTGAGCAACCGGTTAAGTGCTCTGGCGCGAGGCTGGTAGGTCCTGGGTTCGAATCTCGCGAGTGAGGAATCGTGGATGCGCACTGCTGAGGAGTCCCATAATAGGATGAAACGGTCGTCCAGTGCTTCCAGGTTTTACTTTATTTTTAGCATTGTATTAAAATGTATTGACTGGTACTATGTCAAGCCAACTTAGCCTATTATTCTAACATATGGACAGATCATTCTTCTCAAGTCACTTCTGATTTATCAGTCATTGACTTAATAACCCTGATTTTTTTAAAATGATTGTGTGTGTGAGTTAATTGTTCACCCTATTCATTAAGTGTTTATAACCTATTTTTGTCTGAATATAAAATATTGATTCACGCTTGATTAAATCAAGTTAGTTCACTCTCCTTCTTCAATACGCATGATTTCGTTTCGCTCTGCTTCCATTACTTCGTTTCTCTGATTGTCTATGCGGATCAATGAATATGTGAAAAATATACTTGTTCAAACTTTATACTTGTATTTGACTTATTTTATTCCATTATTCTTTAATGCAAATGAAGTGGATAAAAATATCCGAGGGTTGGTTGCATGTATATTTCAGCATATGATTGAACTGGAGTTAGATATAAGGCTACTAAAAAGTAACCCGTCTGTGCTACTTCACTATTTAAATCAAATATCACAGAAACAGACACTTTTTCGAAGTATGGCTTCGTATTTTTAGATCATAAGCTTGTTGGCTAAAAACTGATAATCCATATATAGAGTAATGTTAGGAAGAAATATAGGTTATCCAAAAGTGACTGTAAACTGTGTCTATGAATAAATATACGACTATGCGAAGATTTAAATATATTTTAAAATAATTTTATGTAGTTGAGATCATTAGTCAATGGAATCTAGATCACCATGGGAAATCTGAAAACACTGAACAGCCGTTTCGTCCTAATGTGGGATGCCTCAGCAACGCGCATCCAAGATTCCGCCTCGCGAGATTCGAACACAGGACCTATCAGTCTCGCATGCGAGCACTTAACCTGTAGACCACTGAGCTGGACGGCATCTGAAGGTGTCAATGTCTATCTTCAACCAATCCACGAAATTGAGCGACAAATCCACGAATGTCTTCAGTGAACTGATATCTCACAACAGACCTGGTTGAACTCCACTGGTTACTGCTTCTCAATAGAACTCCAGGTAACACCTCATGGAGTCAGTCACTCGTGAGCATATGATCGTTATAAGAACAATAGAACGAAATGGCCGTCCAGTGTTTCCAGATTTTCCATAGTGGTCTGGATTCAATTGACTCATGATTTCAACTATAAACGTACTGAAATCCCCTCAAAAATTCTTCTGATAACAATCAGTATTTTTAAACAATTTTGATTACATTCTTACATTTGACACGTCCAATATTACCACATGAATTACTGTTTATCAGTTACATTACATTAAGGGGATGTATAAAGTAGATTAAGTAGAATCACCTAGTTGATAGCAAGTGAAACAATTTTTTGTTTGTTTTTAATGTTCACTAATCTTATAGCATAACTCCACCTGTAGCTCCACCGGGGGCTAATGCCTTTCCCAAGCCCGGATGAAGAAGGAGGGTTGGACATGGGGCTAGCGATCCCATCCCGAACGAAACTAATTCCCTAACCAGAAAAAATCATTCAAACCATTAAAGCTCTGCCCTAAGAGTTGAAAAGAGAATTAGGACGCCGAGTTTCTTCGGAAGTCACAAGACCGATGCCCCTTCTAACAACCAGAGCATCAATTTTTACAGGTATATACAACGTCCGGACAATGTGGGGAAACGGAAGAGTCTCCCAAATTGCTAATGAATCGTATAGCATAAACAGTAAACTATGCGTTATTAGACTTTTTTTCAATACACATCAAATGAAAAATCATCACAAGATGATGCTCGTATATCCTGGGACCACCGAGTATGTAATGCAGTCGTTAGGAAACGGGTACTGGGTAAGGGTGGCAAAACGATTGATGAAGTAGTGAAACTTCATCAGTTGAGATAGCTTGGACACGTGTTACATATGCTCAACCACCGACTGCCGCGATGAGCAATGTTTTATGGTGTAGGAGTAGGTTGGAAGAAAGGTATGGGCGGCCAGACAAAAACGTGGCACAAATCCATGGTCACTGACAATTGGACTGAGTCATGTTGTTAGGTGTAGACTGCCTGCTTGTGATCTGCGAGATGATAGCAATTGATGTTTAGAGACCTTGAATGACATGGCTCAAAATCGTTTACAATGGCGAAGATGCATCTACTCTTTGTGTTCTACCAAATTTTAATCTTCGGAATTCTTCATGTCTCTATCTTTTTCTCCTTCCAAATTTATTTCACTAGATTATACTCCTTGGATAACATATTCAAACCCTAATCTTTCGGATTACTGCTTATACTCTTACTACTTCTACCACTATGGGATTTGAATAGACAACTGTTTCTCTATGTTATTATGGTATAGCAACTCGAACTGATGTACGTATGTACGTACGAATTTCTACGTTGGGAATTCATAAAGAAAGACAACAACAACAACAACAAAAGAAGCAGGACTTAAAACTTAAAAATCTATTCATTATTCTACAGAACTTTTTCAATATAGAATATAAACTTTAAAGTACAACTGATACAATCAACTGTGATATACAAAAAGGAGAAAAAAACAAAAAAAAACAACGAAAAAACAAACAAAAATTGTTTTTCTACATAAACAAATTACTAAACTGTTTTTTTTTGCCTAGATACTTCAACTAGGATTTACAATAATCAATCTTGATCTTTATGAGGTATTTCAATTGGTTGTTTATCTTCTGATTGATTTTCAATTGGCTACAATGTAAATAAAGTACGAGAAAAAAATGATATTATATCATCTATAGAGGTATAGAACCCCCCTCCCATGAAGGGTAATGATATGTCTTGCTGATTGAACGCTATATTCGGATCCTAAGCTAGTCTAGTAACCCACCCCCCGAAGCTAAATCTACACAGCGACTTGAATACGAGAGAAAAGGCGTAAAATATACGAGAAGCACTTTGCTCTAAAGGTTTATTTATGTATAGAAAATAAAGGATTTTTCTAGTATTTTAGAAGTCCTTGTGTTTTCCTGAAAATTTTAGAATGCTACTAAACATAGGAGGATGTGAAAACCTTTACATATCTGGGTAGCAACATTGATGAACACGGTGGATCTGATGCAGATGTGAAGGCGAGGATCGGCAAAGCAAGAGCAGCATATTTACAACTGAAGAACATCTAGAACTCAATGCAATTGTCAATCAACACCAAGTCACAATTTTCAAAACAAATATCAAAACATGGTAAGCAGAGATGGATAGTGGCTAGCAGTGAAATCCAGGACGCGCGTTTTGTCCTATTTGGAGAGACTGACCAGTTGCAGTCCAAAACACATCGATGGGAAGATCCAAACAAACAATACTAAGTGAATTCAAATATCAAGACAGTTCTATTGTATGGGGCGGAAACCTGGAGAACTACGAAAGCCATCATCCAGAAGGTATAAGTCAAACGCTGATTGCATAAAATGCTTCTTAATGTTTCCTGAGTTTTTGTCATGTCTATTGCAGGAAAATTTTCAGAATCACCCCAGAGTGAACATCAACTCTGAGATGCAGGTACATCCAGCTGATGAGTCCCAAATAGGACGAAACGCGCGTTCTGAATTCCACTGCTAACCACAATCCATCTTTGCTTGTAAACCCATTATGTTTGAAATACATGATTCATATAGCGGAGACTGAGTTTTGTACTCCGGACTTAACATGCAGAGAAAAGTATCAATTGGGTCTCTAGGCCGCTCGTACATATGTATAAGTCTTTTGTGTACTGTATAAGTCCGCTTATCTAAACTTGGCAATGATATTCGCAGTAATCTTATAATGTAAAGACATAAGATTTATAATAGATATTTTAGACGGTTTTACTTTCTACCATGTTGAAGTGAAAAAAATGCGTTCAACAGATTCATGATGAAGATTTGTTCTACGTGTTAATAATTAGAGTTATAAGACTACTCACCTGACTTAAGTAGGTAGTGGGAATTCAAAAAAATAAATCTTTAACATAAGTTTATTTCCCTTGACACTTGATTTTTAGAAAAAAATGTGCTACCTAATCAGCTCACTGTTTAACATACTTCTAACCTCTGTATTAAGTATCAAGTTTTTATGAAAGTGTTCTTTTCAAAGTTTTCAAAGTACTTACTTACTTACTTACACCTGTTACCCCTCGTGGAGGTGCATAGGCCGCTCACCAGCATTCTCCATTCAACTCTGTCCTGGGCCTGCCTTTCCAGTTCTTTCCAGTTATTATTCATTCTTTTCATATCTGCTTCTATTTCCCGGCGTAATGTGTTCCTTGACTTTCCTCTATTCAGCTTCTTTTCCGGATTCAAAGTTAGGGTTTGCTTTGTAATGCACATTGGTGATTTCCTTAATGTATGTCCTATCCACTTCCAACTTCTTTTCCTAATTTCCTCTTCAGCTGGAAGCCGGTTTGTCCTCTCCCATAAATTGCTGTTGCTGATAGTATCCGGCCAATGGATGTTGAGTATTTTGCGTAGACAACTGTTTATAAATACTTGTATCTTCCTGATGATAGTCGTAGTAGTTCTCCACGTTCCAGCTCCGTACAGTAGGATTGAGTTTTCAGAGTACTTTGTTTTAATTAATGGTAATGCTGAGGTAATATATTCATGATCAGTAAAAGATTGTGAGGATTGTTTAAGCATAGATTGATATCATGAATGGATCAATATTGAAGGAGTCACATACTAGAACGAAACGGTCATTCAGTGCTTCCAGGTTTTCATTACTGATTCAACAATGATCCAATCATGATATCAATCTAAACATAGTACTTGTTAACAATTATTTAAATCGACATAAACTAGTCTATTAACCTACCTGATTTTCTACTACATCAGCTTGAACAGTATGAGTAGTTAAATGTATATCATTATTATTATTACTATTATTATTTATAGGACTAGGTTCTTTTTCTGGTTGCATCAATAAAAATGGTATATGGATAGAAAATCGACTAGAAAAGAAATATATATAATAAATATAATTAAGAATACTACTGAAATAGTCATTAATAGTAGTATTGTAGCGAATAGAACACAGGAGGAGACAATCGGAAGTATTTGAACCGAAAATTACAAACTATCTCATTAAAATCTGATAACCATACAGTGAACAGTTAGTTTGCAAAATAACAATCAATTTCATTTAGTATTGTCTGTTTGAATCTTCCCATTGATGTTTAGGACTACAATTTGTCAGTCTCTTATTGGCATAAGTGTATACACTGCGTATTTCCTCGATATAGTCTATATCAAAGCCTATTGGCTATATTTAGGCCATACGCACAGTATGCAAATATGCCAGTGAGAGACTGACCAGTTGCAGTCCTAAACATCAATGGGAAGATTCAAACAAACAACACGAAGTGTATTCAAACTTTACCCCATTGCACAAGCAAGTGACTATCAGGACTTAGTAGATGAGTGGATAACGCGATGGCGTTTGAAGCGAAAGGTATGGAGCTCGAGTCCCAAAGTGAACATCAACTCTGAGGTGCAGGTGCATGCAGCTGACGAGTCCCAAATAGAACGAAATGCGCTTCGTGGATTCCACTGCTAGCCACTATCCATCTATGCTAACAATCAATTGTCTCAATCTTGACTATTCCTTCGATAAATATTAGTCAACCTTCTCTGATTTCATTGGTCATGCACTTTCATACCGATTGCGCTTCGTTCCTGTTCTTTCCTTATCGATCTTAGGCCAAAATACATCATATGCCCAACCATCGTTATATACTACTTGTGTGAATGTAAGTAGACCACACTACAGTATCAATATTTCACAGTAAATTAATATAATGTAATATAATTTACATAGTTTAAAAGTTATTATATATAGAAGTGTAAACCAACGGATTATCTGCCAAGTTGATGTTTACATAAGTGTTGTTGTTATTTGAGTTTATACTATCATAAGAAACTGCCTGTTGAAATTTCAATGGAAATTCCAATAAGAGTGTGGTGTGTGCTACTTATATCGACATAAGTAATATATAACGCCAGTCAGGGATAGAATGTCTGGTAGCAGAAGATCGAGGAGGAAAGAGCGGGAACAGTAAGCAATTGGTATGTAAATATAGGAATAATGAAGTCTGAGACGATTGATTGACATTTTATAAATGAATTTTTACTGCTTGGTTCTCGGATTTTACTAAGATGTTCCGTATCTTTGTGTTCAAATAAATTGGATTGTCCCCACTTACGTTATCGCTCACTAAAATAGTATTTAGGCTCATTTACTTACCAATTCCTGAATAAGATAAGGAGCTGAACGTTTTTAATTTCCACATTAACCATTAGTTAGAATATAAACTAGGTGTCAATGGAAGAAACATCAAGGATCTCATATTTCAACAGTTATAGATCATTGTTATCAGAAGGTGTTTTGTGGTAGGTCCTGAGTTCGAATCCCATGAGGCGAGGTCGTGAATATACACTGCTGAGAAGTCTCACAATAGGACGAAACGGCCATCCAGTGCTTCCAGTTTTTCCTCGGTGGTCTAGCTTCAATTGACTAATGCTCTTAACAGTAATAGATCAATTACAACATTTGGCTGAGTTCGCCATTTTCTATAAAATTTTACTGAGATTTTTAATAAGTTTATTCACAAAAACTGATCGCCGACTAAAGAGAAGAAATAAGATATTATACTACATCTGTAAAAACCTTATCAACTGAAATTCAACCTGGAAGCACTGGGTGGCAGTTTCATTCTATTATGGGACTCCTCCTCGAAGACCACGCCTCACAAGATTCGAACCCAGGACCTACCAGTAACAGCAACCTTATGAAAAAGGCATTGGGATTCGAAGCAAAACGTACTGGTTTCAGATCTCAATTTAAATGTCAACACTGGTATGAAAATAAAACACTCTACGACTCGAACCCAGTAACTTTCGCCTCAAACGCCATTGCGTTATCTACTCGGCCACTGAGTCCTGATAGCCACTTGCATGTGTAATGAAGTGAAGTTTAAATTCACTTCGTATTGTTTGTTTGAATCTTCCATTGATGCTTAGGAGTGCAACTGGTCAATCTCTTATTGGCATATGTGAAGATTCAAACAAACAATACTAAGTGAATGTAAGCATAAATTACTGTTTAACTAAGCTTAATCTGTGAAATTTCACAATCCCCTTGTAATAAATTTGTATCTCTTTAAAATACACAATCAAATGTATAGTAAGATGAAAATGAATAAAGATAATAGATGGATTACCTGATCCCTATCCAACATCTAACACGAACAAAGTATGATATAACAACTCCATGTAATTCTTTATTCGCTTTGATTGCCGTTTCCGTAGATCTAAAACACAAAAACGATGATGAAGTCATAAACAAAGATATCAAGAAGATAAAAGTTATGGACTGATATTTTTGAAATGTCTTGATAATTCATTTATAAACTGATATCTTGTCTATCAGTCAACATGGCACCAAATAACTGATAGGTTATACGATTCATAATATATTAGAAAATATATACACGTGTATGACCTGAATACTATATCACCTTTCAAGAAAGTTTACAACGTATCATGAAGTAACTGGTGCTCCCATATCAACCAGATTCATAATTCGAGACTTCAACCTTGCACTGTTTAGTCCGTGACTGACTTCCTGTATGACTGAGATATTTATGACTTATTGATTACTGAGTAGTGACTGATTCGATGTTCATAGAACTCTTACGGTGTTCGTGGAATCCTGACAATCATCATGAGAGAAACTTTTCAATCGAATATATTATTATCAGAAGGGGTTTTTGTGAAGATTTATTATTTTCATAGTTGAAGCGTGATTCAATTGAAGCTAGGCCACCAAGGAAAACCTGGAAGAACTGGACGACCGTTTCGTCCTAATGTGGGACTACTCATCAGTGAGCATCCACGATCTCGTCTCAAGAGATTCGAATCCAGAACCTTAAACTCTAGACCACTGAGCCGGCATCCAACGGTGTTAATGTCTAACTTCAACCAACCCACAAAATTGAGAAACCATCTATCATTTTTTCAAGTGGTCTAGCTTCAATTGACTCATGATTTCAACTATAAAATTACTAAAATCTTCATAAAACCCCCTTCTGATAATTTCACAATCGACAAAATGGATTGGTTGAAGAATATGGTTCAACATGTTGACGCCATGTTTGGAGTACTTACTTTGATATACACTGTATCTGTGGTAGAATGTTTTTCAAATAATAATGAGATGAACATACAATTCATGTATCCTTTATTTTCTTAATCCAATTTTCGCCATAAAGACTGAAGGGTTATGAATGTTCCTCAATTAGAATTTCGTTTTTTTCTTCATACAATGTTATCAACAGAAGAATGATTGAACAGGAAGAAACATTGACTAGATTTTCGGAGGATCAAATCACAACTCCATATGAGGTCAAAACTTACATTTAATTAAGATAAGAAAATACAAACTACAGGGTTCATTCATGCTGAATATATGACTGTTACTGCTTATTTAGTTATATGATGACGGCCAAACCGAATCATGAATTAACCCTCCTTCAAAATATACATTAGTGTAATCTATTTCATTTGTTTACTGGTACTGTATTTTATTTTTGATTGAGATCATATATTGATTTATGTTAGACCACCATTGAAAAATTGGAAGAACTGGATGGCCGTTTTGTCCTATTATAAGACTCCTCGGCAGTGTGCATTCACGATCGCGGGACCTTCGACCTCGCGCGTGAACGTTTAGTCGCTAGGCCACTGAACCGGCATCTGACGGTAATAATGTCCAAGTTCAATCGATCTTGCCCGATGTGATAATGGTTAAACATATACAACACCAAGAATAAATAACTGTATAGCACATTTTTTAACGGTTTTCCTGCCTACGAGAATTTGTGGTGAAAAATCATCATTGAAAATATCGTTAAATGTATTTATAAATGATCGTTTCCTATAATATTTTTCTTAAATGGTACGAATGGGATCATTTGGTGAAAAGATGCTTTATTTTCATTTAATCTTGGGATTTATCAGAAAGCGTTTTTGTGCATATTTCAGTAATTTTATGGTTGAAATCATGCGTCAATTGAAGCCAGACCACCAGGGAAAACCTGGAAGTATTAGACGGCCGTTTCGTCCTAATGCTGGACCCCTCAGCAGTGCACATTCAAGATTCCGCCTCGCGAGATTCGAACCCAGGACTTATCATTATTATTATTATTATTATTATTATTATTATTATTATTATTATTATTATTATTATTAGCTTGATTCAATATTATATTATTTGGTACAAAATCGAATTCTCAGCATAAAGTATTTCAACATATTTACGTTTCTTATTTCTTCGTTGCTCCTGATGATAAACATTAAGTGATCGCCAGTTGGATGTCAGCAGTTCAGTCAATCGACATATGAATAATGTATATTCTTTTTGCTGCATGTTCCCAGCAAACACGACATCTCTGATTAGGCCTTTTCTAACTGTTACAGCGAAAGGTTGCACAGTTTTCAGAAACGCACCGGAATAGGTTGTGTGCTTAATAGCCATAATGATGTATTAAAACAAACAATATTAGATAACTTGTTGAAATATATAGATGACGGGAAACAGGTAGCCCAGATGTTTAAGCAGGCCGCCCATCGGGGACTTATCTTCTATGACTCAATGTTTGAGAGAAGCATTAGTTTTATCAACTTTCTCACCACGCTCTTACATTAGAGGTCTATAAAACATTGTATTACGATGATTAGCTTAGGGTATACATGAAAATCTTGATTGTATCAATTAGCATACAACCATGAAAATTGCAAGATTCATATCATCTATTATTGGAATATCTACATGAAATCGACGATAAGTACATCTGAAAGGTCACATACTAATGAGATAACATTACATGAATGTGTAAATGTAATTGTATATTAAGACACACTTTTGTTGTATAGTGAGCGATTAACAATATAGGAAAGTCATGCGAATATTTATTTATTTAAACACATAAATATTGGTACTAGGAAGCACCAGATAATTATGCGCCATACAAATCTCATTTGATTTGTGTAAGGGCTGTGATACTGCCCAGGTGCCCAGACTGAAGCAGGTAGTTTTCTTAGGGGGCCACACCCGGAGCCTTTGACCTAAAGGTCTAGTCCACAAGGCAGTGGAGCATCGTGAGGAGATTCAGTCCCATGGTAGCCGGTCACCAACGATTGGTTCATACGCCGTTTGTTCCTTCAGGATACTGGAGCCCATGTGCACCATTGATTTGGAATCAGGGTTTTCGAACTCTTCTAGGTGGAATTTCCGTGTACACCAACCCGGTTGATGAACCGGACATTCGCTTTTCGTTCTCTCAATTTCGCACACAACAACCGCGCCACGAGAAGACAGTGAGTAGGACTTGTGTGGCAGAGGCTATATAGGCGTGGACATGTGAGATCATTTGGAGAGGGAGAGTGGACTCTCCCCACTCTCTGCCGTACCAGGGCATTTGGGGGCAGACAAATATCATAGAAAATGGGACAAACATTCTATCATGGTCATTGTAGAGGTCCAAAGTAGGAATTATCGACTGATTATGATAGAACTGTTTTAATATGTTGAGAATTGAAGTAACCAATTCGATTAGTCAGTGGAATGACCTTACTAGGCATTAAGACAAAGAAATTGAATAAATGTGCATGTTTAAGTCAAATTATTTGAAATTGACCCTGATAAACATCAAAGTTTGTGTATTTGCTTTTAAAGTCTCTCTAAAAATCATAATTTCATATTTTGAAAGGTCTTAGATAATGTCGTGACTATGTTTTCAACGAAGTATAAGATGGTATTCGATCCATGTTGTTTGATGAAATGGAGTCACTAATCATGTATTTGAAAACTTCAGGTACCTGGTATAGTTGGTGTAATGATGTAATAATTCATATGGACTAGTAAGGTGTAAATAGTTGATATACAAAAAGTATGGAAGGTAATTATCCATTCGCTGAATATGTAGAAAGTGAAGAAAATTTGAGGACAATCATAAAAGTACAAGGTTTGTGGTTCATGGAAATCATAAACCGGTCAAATACAATCGAAAGTGGTCGTGCAATATCGCTGATTGGTTGAAGTTAGACATTAACGCCGTTGACTCCCGGTTGAGTGGCCTCAAAGGTTGTGTTTGCGCGTGGAACCGAAGGTCCTGGGCTCGAGTCCCGTGTGCACGGTCATGGATTCGCACTGCTGAGGAGTTCAATGCTAGTACAACATGGCTATCCAGTCCTTTCAAGTTTTTAGTAGTGGTCTGAAATTGGTCGGTTCATAATCTCAATATAATCATAATAACTGATTATTCAGTATGAAAATTAGAAAGTTAGAGCCACGATAATGAAAGAATAGTTATGGTGTTTTAAGACCTAAATTTCAAGTTTCAATAAAGAGAACCTATCAGTCTTATGCAGTACAAAGTACTTAATTCCTACTTATTTTGAATTGATTCATTTGACCATGTAGAGGTTTCTGGTGTGACAATGTAAGTTTTTCTGTCATAGAGCTTAGGATTAGTTTATATTCTAATTTTAATGATTATGTACGGTAACTCTGAGAGATGCGTTTATTTATAAACGCCATCAACGATGACTTTTTCGTTTCCCAAATGGTTGGACTGGACCAGTTTAAGTTTCTCAGATGAAGTTAACCTGAGTTGATATCTTTGTAGTCTTGGTAGGGCAATAATTAGAAGTAGCAGACTAAAATAAAACAACTATTTATTGTCGGTAATTTTTTATGGTTGAAATCATGAGACAATTGAGGCTAAAACATAATGGAAAACCTGAAAGAACTGGACGGCCGTTTCGTCCCATTGTGGGACTCCTCATCAATGCGCATCCGCGATCCCACCTCACGAGATTCGAACTCAAGACCTATCGGTCTCGCGCGCGAGCACTTAACCTCTAGACTACTGAAACGGCATACAACTGTGTTAATGTCTAACTTCAAACGATCCACGAAGTTGATCAACCGTTTCCGTAGTTCTGATGGTTCATTAAATCCTGTCAATCCAAGATAAAAAAAATTACTTCAAACTGCATTCACTTGAATTAAAATATGAAATTAAAAACAAAATTTCAACTTACTCCTCAACATTTTTTTGAATATTTTGCATCATTTCTAAACATTCACCAAGATCTGAAGATAATTTCAATATTGTTGATGAAGCTAACCAATTTTTCTCTTGTTTAATATAACCTTCTAAAGCAACACCTTGTTTTAATATAGAATCAGTAAAACTAGTATCTAATGCTGTTGTATACTTCCATTGTTGTTCTCCAGCTTGAGGAAGATTCTCTCTGAAATATACAACCAGAAGAACTCTTTCAGTTAAGGAAGTTATGACTACTCTTTATGAAGAAATTAAAAGAACGTTACAGCAGGCACGCCACTGGGTTCTGTTCTGAGCCATATCTGATAACGTCTTTAGCCATTGTGTTGCACCATCTCTTGGACCCCAACCAGGGAGTCATGAAGAACCAATGGAAGCCAGCCCTTTGCAGCTTTCTTTCATAGCACGACACCAAGTAATAATAATAATAACCAAAGTATACTGTATCGATGAATAGACTTTTTAGTTTGTTATAAAAAAAACTTATACTTGATGATACTTGAAATTGAAGATAAAACTTTCTCGGTTGTCTAAAGAGGTGAGTTGATTTAATTGTGATGAGAGAAGTATTTAAGTAGTAGATAACATAATAAACCATTTCATTAGATTAAAGAGTTAAATAAACAAAAGTGATTTGTTTAAACATACAATACTTATCTCTTTTTTAATAGCTCATAATGACTACTTTATGTACTTTTTTGATTATTAGAATTAAAGATTGAATGATTGTTTATTATTATATAATTGTTATCTATTTCGGTCCACGAAGGTGCTTGATATCTGTGTGGTTGCTCCACAGGATTGGGCTGCACTGTTCGGATTGTAGCGTTGACACCCATATAGTGTCTAGTTCTCCTATGGGGGGATTGAGCTGTACTGCTTGGGTTAAACCTGAGCAGTGTCTGGCTCTCCTGTTAAACGGGATTGAGCCGTACTGTTAGGGTTGTTGCGTGAAAGTCTTGATGGTGTCTGGTTCTCCTGAAAACCAGTGCAAAATTACCCTGGCCTATAAAGGTATATTATATAACTAACTGATCCATTTCGGCCATATATATATATATATATTTCCTGAACATGGAAAAGTTTTTCTGTCTATGAATATGACATAACAATATGATTTCTGATGTATAAAACGAAAGTATGTATGTAAATAAATGTACAGTCTCATATAGTTTATAGTTGAAATCATGAGTCGACTGAAGCTAGACTGTTATATCTTGTGTCCGAGTGGATGGGTAGTTGATGTGTGGCTCGATAGAACTGCCTAACAGGGAGCAGCGAATTCTCGATTGGAACAGTGACACGAAACCCGTACGAGCAGCCTAGAGTGCTAACCGATCCTGCTATCTGCCTAACCCAGCCAGTTGAGTCCAGAACACAAATAACAGCCTCGGCAATATAGATCATTATTTACAAACATAATGGGTTTTTATACAAACCAAAGTAATCAATAACTGAGTATAACTCAAGAATCGTATGATAATAAATCAAAGATCAAAATAAAGCTCATGATAAGAGAAACACAAATATGAATAGCTTAGTTACGTAACAATTGCACAATACGCATAATACATTGGTCGATAAATAGTCCTTGGAGTTACCATTCATAATTCACCAGGGGATATAACATAGACCACCATGGAAAACCTCAAAGCACTGGACGGCCGTTTCGTCATATTGTGGGACTACTCAGCGAAGCACATCCACGATGCTGCCTCGCGAGATTCGAAACCAGAACCTATCAGTCTCGCGAGCGATTGATTAACAACTAGACCACAGAGCTGGCCGACATCCAACGGTGTTAATGTCTAACATCAACCAATCACCAATGTCTTCAGCGAGTTGATACATCACAACAGACCTGGTTGAAATCCACTGGTCACTGCTTCTTACTAGAACTCCAGGATATATCTCTTGAAGTCAGTCACTAGTGGGCATATGATTATAGATCAGAAGCGATCGTGGATGCGCGTTATTGAGAAGTCCTACAATAGGACGAAATGGCCATCCAATGCTTCAAGGTTCTCCATGGTGGTCTAGCTTCGATTGACTCATGATTTCAACTATAAAATATTTTTTTGTTAAAATTAAATTATTTTAAGTCATTTAGATTAGTACAACTTTATAGTAAGATAAGTCGCTTTAAAAATAGCTTACTTGCATAAATGTTCACTTATCGTACACCGATATGTTCCTCTTGTCAATAAGTACATTTCAGTAACCTGAACAACTAAAAAAATTAAGGCGTTAATGAGATGAATATTGATTGTTCTACTACAGAAAATCATGAAATAATAGAAAATTCACTGCAATCCAAACAGTACAGCCCAATCCTGCGGCGCAACCACTCAGGTACTAAACACCCTGGTGGATCATTCGCACCGTTTGTATACACATTCACATCCCATGTATAAGTATTCCGATCAGCGATCGCGTAAATAAATTATGCACAGCATAAAGAGGCCAAAGTTGACCCATAACGCTTACACGACAGTCAAACTCATAAATGTTAGCAACGGCGATATGACTTACAATGCTACAATGACAAAATCCCTTGAGAACACTGTAAAGCAACCACCAGTATGAATGAAATCAGTTAACCAGCCAACCAACTTTTCATATGGACAGTCAGTAAAATTTGCCAAAGCAATGCCGAACCATCCACAATTTCAATGGCGAATTTCCGGTCTCATATAAGACCTTCAGCTCTATATGGCCAAATTGCTTATACTGCATACAACATACATATAAGGTAGTAAGCGAAACAACCCAACTTGAAGCGTTAGGGCATAAGAACGCTTAAAACACATTGTCTGGTGTCGGAATAGTGATACAAAACCACCAAGATCATTTTTATCGCTTTTGTGAAATTTTAATTTTTCCAACTTTCCAGACCCGGAGTTAGGGTTAGTATCCCTCCTTATTCTTTAAACTGCTTTAAAATCCTCGTTTAGTCCTAGTAAGTAGATAGACACTCTTAAGGTCACTTTGTTGTCGCTCAAAATTTGGTCAAAAAATTTTGTCACACCGAAAATTCTTTTCAGAAATATAAATGACTTTTGAAATAGAGATAATGACTAACCTACATCTATAGATTTTGGAGCAAAGATGAAGTTGAAAACTTACCAGGAAGTATTCTACATTAATAATCTAATAAATAAGACTTAAGATATCTAAATAAAACTTTGTAAGTAATTCCACTGCAAATCTATATTGCAAGGATTGACAAACGTCTTTATCAAACTCTTAGCTCAAGAACGATGCACACGAACAGGTGAAAATCAAATGAGAAACTATCCAACTATTCTAAAAATACAACTGCTTATCAAGCAAAGATGGATGATGGCTAGCACTGGAAAGTAGGACACGCGTTTTATCCTATTTGGGACTTGTCAACTAGATGTACCTGAGTCCCACAGTTGATGTTCACTCCGGGACTCGGACTCAGTTCCGTTCAGTCTAAACGCCATTACGTTCTCCATTTAGTGACTAAGTCCTGATAATCAATAGCTTTTGCAATAGGGTAAAGTTTAGATTCACTTAGTACCATTTGCTTATATTTTCCCATTAGTAATTATTAAGTAATCACCAGCACTTGAATTAAGTAACAACATTATAAGTGTTTACAAGAAGTCATATTTTAATATATGAAACTTTAATTGCATCATGCCATTGTAAAATATGATTTTGAAACGGAAATTCATTTATCCAAAAGTATATTCAAATAGGTGAATATATTTTGTGTAATAGATGTTTTAGATGTATGTCTTATTCACAAAGAATGATACGATATTTCTGGTAACATAATTTTCAATTGTAATAGTTATGAAAGATCATGTTAGATACTAACACTATTGGACGCCAGTTCAGTGGCCTGGAGATTAAGCATTTACGCAGGAGACCGAAGGTTCTTGGTTTGATTGCCACGTGTCAGTCAGTCAGTCAGCTACAACATAGGACCAGGCACACATGTACATCGGTCCAAGTTGCCATACATCCTTAGCACAACAAGATGAACACCGAATTCATAGTAGTTAATTTAGTAGTGATAATATATAAAAGATAAGTTTTTCACAGTTGAAATCATGAGTCAATTGAAGCTAGACCACTATGTAAAACCTGGAAGCATTGGACGGCCGTTTCGTCATATTATGGGACTCCTCAGCAGTGCGCATCCACGATCCCGCACCCGCGATATTCGAACCCAGGACCTACCAGTCTCGAGCCGAAGCCCTTAACCGATAGACCACTGAGCCGGCCGGCATCCAACGGTGTTAATGTCTAACTTCAACCAATCCACGATTTTGAGCTACCGTTCACCAATTGTCTTCAGTGAGCTGATATCTCTACAACAGACCTGGTAGAACTCCACTGGTCACTGCTTCCCACTAGAACTCAAGGAAATATCTCTTGAAGTCAGTCACTAGTGAGCATATGATTATAGATCAGAGGGGTTGTATATAAGGACATAGTATAGGAAGGAAGAAAGTTATGAAGCAATTTTAATCTCAATGTTTACGGGAAGATAAAAAGTGTATACACCTACGCCATTTAAGGCGACCGGTACTAGGTTCGAGTCAAGGAATGAACATCAACTCTGGGATGCCGGTACATCCAACTGACGAGTCCCAAATAGGACAAAACGCATGTTCTGGACTGCACTGCTAGCCACCATTTATCTTTGCTCATAAAAGGTATAACCACTTTTTACCTTCCTTTTTTTATTGATATACTATTATTACTTTTTCATTATTCAGAATTATTAACTAGCTATTGTTATATCATTTAATGATTACGTTCTTTATGTTCACCAAATGGACAATTATCTCTAACCCATAATATCTTTCAATAATCGTTTTTATTAGTCATTGAATTATCACATATCTTCCTTTCTATAGTTGATAATTCCAAACAATTGATTAATAGCTTGTTAACACTTTTCAAGTGGACAGTTATCTTCTATGTGTGGTCTGTTTTGGTTTATTACGTAGTTTTTGTTTTTTTTTAATAGAAATTTGGAAACATTTTCAATCACTATAAGCAAAGATGGACAGTGGTCAACAGTGGAATCCAGTTTGACGCGCGTTTCGACCTATTTATGACTCGTCAACTGGATGTACCTGCATCTTAGAGTTGATGTTCATCATCTTTGCTTATAATGCTTGTGAATAAAGGCTATATTCAGCTATATTCAGGCAATACGCACAGTATGCACATGTGGCAATTAGAGACTGACCAGTTGCAATCCTAAGCATCAATCGGAAGATTCCAACAAACTATGAGTAGTAGTATGAGACTTCTGAGTAGCACACGAACGCATGAACGCCTAATCTTTAGAGTTCTGAGCCGGTATCCAACGGTGTTAATGTTTGACTTCAATCAATACTTGATTTTGCGCAGCTTTTCATCTATTGTTTGAGGTAGATAACCGTCTCATATTCGACACCAATTGAACTTCATTCGTCATATCTTCTCACTAGAAATTCAAGGAATCCGCCTTGGAGCTAGTCAATGAATGAAGGGTTGTACAAGATCAAGGATCAATTAAAGTTAAATATTAACACTGTTGGATGACAGCTCAATGGTTAAGAGGCTAATAGTTTATGTACGGAACCGAAGGTCTAGGGTTTGAGTCCCACGTGTGTGATCACGGATGCGCACTTTGTACAAAGTTCATTCTTTATCACATTAGGATATTACATTGGGAATTATTGAATGTCCAGGTTTACTGAACAACTATTACATAAAAATTTGAACGTCTCTAATAATTTTATATTGAAAGATAAACATTGGACTTAAACCAAAATGTAAATGTTATCTTTCTTTCTGTATGTACGTTATCATACATCCTTCATACTGATATCTATTCGATCTGGCAACTGTTCAAAAAAGATCTAACTTGAAAAAACTATTTAGTATAATTATTAATTGAAAACTCTCATTTTGGTAGAATTCTGTTCTCTGAGCTGGATAGTTTGGTCGTGAAACAAACAAAATCATCACCATAAACTTCAAATAGAAGTGAAGTGTAAATATTTCTCCACATATGACTCACAGCTTGTTCTGTATACCTCAAACTTGATTGGTCATAGTTAAACTTCAACCTGTCATTGTCTCTTATTTATTTATCAGAAGGGGTTTTGTGGATATTTCAGTATTTTCATATTTGAAATCATGGGTCATTTAGAGCTAGACCACCAGGGAAAAAATGAAAGAACTGGACGGCCTTTTCGTCTTAATATGGAACTCCTCAGCAGTGCGCATCCACGATCCCGCAGTCGCGAGATTCGAATCCAGAACCTAGCAGTCTCGTGCCACAGCACATACCCGATAGACCAATGAGCCGGTATCCAACAGTGTTAATGTCTTACTACAACCAATCCACGATTTTGAGCAACCGATCACCAATGTCTTCAGTGAGTTAATATCTCTACAACAGACGTGGTTGAACCCCACTGGTCACTGCTTCTTACTAGAACTCCAGGAAATATCTCTTAAAGTCAATCACAAGTGAGCATATGATATTTTGAAAATGAAGCACACAATGGCAAGTTAAAGTTCAACAATAAACTATAAAAATTGGCCACCGAATGCCCTGGTACGGACGAGAGTGGGGAGAGTTCGCTCTCCATCTCGAAATACTCTCACATGGCCTGCGAATATATAGCCTCTGACAGGGAAGTTCTACTCACTGCCTTCTCGTGGCATTACTGTTGTTTACGAAAGTGAGAGGTCGAGAAACGAATGTCCGGCGCTTTAACCAGGTTGGTGGACAAGGCGAGTTCACCTAGGGAAGTTCGAAAATCCTGATTCCAAACAAATGGTGCACATGCGCTCCAGTATCCTGATGGAACAAATGGCGTACGAATCAATCATTGATCACCGGCTACCATGAGACTGCATCTCCTCACGATGCTCCACTACCTTGTGGACTAGACCTTTAGATCAAAGGCTCCGGGTGTGGCCCCCTAAGAAAACTACCTGCTTCAGTCTGGGCACCCGGGCAGTATCACAGCCCTCACACAAATCAAATGAGATTTGTGAAGAGCATATGTATCTGGTGTTTCCTTGTACCAATATTTATGTGTTTAAATAAATAAATAAATATCAAAATTGAGGTCCACAGGAGAAGCTGGGAGTAATTATAAATCCTTGCATACATTACCATTTAGCCTAAGTAAATTATATGACCAATATTAACATAAACTCAGGCAATTTTATAGAATTTTGTACAGTTCAACAAAAAACCCACTCAATGCAAGATGCAATCAGCTCAAAAAGCATGAAAGAAAGAATACAGTAACCTAGAAAGATCTGTTTTTTTATTATCAGAGATAAACTAGAACTAATTCTAGCTCTAAACCCAATGACTAGTTTAGATGAAATTCTGAGGTCTATTATTTTCAAGCTCAATTATGTTTCAAAATTATCTTAAGACAATTTATTTACTTATTTATTTATTTAGACACATAAACATCTGTAGAAGAAGGCACCAAATAGATATGCGCCACAATTCAACATTTGATTTATGTGATGGCTGAAATACTGTCCGAGTTCCCAAAACAAAGCAGGTGGTTTTCTTAGGAGGACATTCCTCTACCCTTTGACCAAAAGGTCTAACCTACAAGGCAATGGAGCAACGTAAGGAGATGCAGTCCCATGGTAGCTGGTGATCAATAATAGTTTCATACACCATTTGTTTACTTAGGATCCTGAACCACACGAACACCACTGCTTTGGAACCAGGTTTTTCTAACTCCCCTAGTTGGATCCTCCATACCCACTAACCTGATTAGAGAGCGGGAAATTCACTTTTCATCCGCTCAAGTCCATAAACAACAACCACGCCATGAGAAGGCAGTGAGTAGGATTTCCATGACAGTGATTGTATACGCGTGGCCATATGAGAGCAGTTGGAGAGATAGAGCTGACTCTCCTCACTCCTGGTCCTATCAAGGCATTCGGTCATTTATTTTAAGACAATATAATCAGTGATTTACTGTTTAAATTACAATTTTACTTATAGCATAGGTTACGATAAGAAATGAAAGTTTAGTTACCGTTATTGTCTGCTGTTTTGAGCACAAACTAATATGAATTTGTTTACCAGTGAATATTTCATTATCACCTGGATAATATTTCATTAAGATTTAGTTTGTAACCGGATTCCAGCTGAAGAGAAATTGGGAAATGACTTTGGAAGTGGATCGGACATACATTAAGAAAATCACAAAACTGCATCGTGAGACAGGCCTTAACTCGGAATCCGGAAGAGAAGCGGAAAAGAGGAAGGTCAAAGAACACATTACGCAGGGAAATAGAAGCAGACATGAAAAGGATGAATAAAAACTGGAAAGATTGCCTAGGACAGGGTTGGATGGAGAATACTGGTGTGTGGCCTATGCTCCTCCACGAGGGGTAACAGGAGTCGGTAAGTAAGTAATACTGTTTTTACATATAGACTTTGAGAACCATAGATTTTTGAAATATATATACTACTCATTATACGAATGAAGATAAAAAGTAACATATTACTATACAAGCTTAATTCAATATACAAATTATAAAATCTTCTGAACATACTTGCTATTTGTAATTTTCTAACGGATAAATTACAATAATTATCCAATACTACTAATACATTAACTGATTCATCATGGTAATATAACTGTAAAATAAAATTAAAAAGGAAAGAAATACACAATTTGTATTATGTATACCTCTATATGTTAAAAATATAGTCATTAAAAACACGAAGTTCAGCGAAGGGATCTCTTTTCAACGAATTCATTATCAAACTGTACAATCTTAGCCAGAGCTCGCTTTCAACTCAGATACGGGAACCTATCCCAGTTTGGTTCAACATGGATGAAAAAAAAGCAGTTAGGCGTTCTATACTTGAACAATTAATCGACTGTAATCATTCTACGGATTCACAGTTTCATTTTAAGGTTGTTTATAGGATTCGTCTAAATCTAACTAGATTTCATCGTATCCAACTCTTAAATATGGCCGAATTTCTCATCATACATGAGCTTAAACCAGAACTATGCGTACAAAAGAAGTACGTCATATTGTTGTCATTACCATGGCCTTAATTAATATTATTATTCTCAGAATGGGGTTTGTGGAGATTTTAGTAATTTTATATAGTTGAAATCATGAATCAATTGAAGCTAGACCGCTATGGAAAATCTGGAAGCACTGGACGATCGTTTCGTGCTATTATGGGACTCCTCACCAGTGCGTATCCACGATTCCACCTCACGATGTACACTGCTGAGGAGTCCTTTGATAGGACGAGACGGCCTTCCAGAGCTTCCAGATTTAATGACCTTCAGTTGTTGTCACAAAAACACTTTATTCATTTTAACCATCTTATTATATCCACTAAGTCTATTGCTATCACTCTTATTACGTAATCTAGTATTATAATCTTTATATTACATCATCTTGGCTATTCGTGTTCATATTTCTTCACGGAATTAGTACTTTAACAAAACAAATTCGCATATATATAAACGATTGTACAGATTTATAATAAATTCGTCGAAAGAAGATCCCTTCGTTTAATGTTTAAATGATAATTATCTGTCCAAAAGTAAGATCATCTATCTCATTCATAATAGTTTATTTAGATTTTGTTGTTTTAATGCTAAACAATAGGACAATCGATTAATGAAGTTATCAGATGAATTTGAGTGATCGCCAGTTGGAAGTTAGCGATCCAGTCAATCGATATCTAAATAATATATATTCTTATTAATACATATTGCCTGCCAGCAACTACGATATCTCTGATTAGGCCCTTTTGTAACCTTTACAGAGGAAGGTTGTACACTTTTCAGAAATGCACCTAAATGGGTTGTGCGATTAATAGTCATAATGATGTATTAAGATAAAGAAAATTAGATAACTTGTTGAAATATCTAGATGATAGGAACAAGTAGCTCAGATGTTCAAGCGGGCAGCCAATCAATGAGTGCCAACTAGAAAAAGAATGAGTTCAGGTTAACCCATAACGTCATAAGCCTCAATGATGTTAAATCTATTTCAAGTTATTCAATAGTATTTAATTGTGTTTCATGACTCTATTTTTTTCTATTCTTCCATATATGAATATGAGATATTTGATACCAAACAATCTACAATCTTCGATTAATGTCGAAAATAGTTACAATGTTTCATGAAGGAATCAATATGTGACAAATTGATTGATAGTTTCGGCAAGTTACAAGTTACATTCTAGTGAGACTATAATTTATGAACGACCTTTGAGCGACGCTAAAATGACCTTGGGAGTGTCCGCCTCCTGACTAGGACAAAAAGGAGGATTATAAACCTATATGAAGGATAAGGATTGTGACTTACAGTTGATGGTTAGGGATAGGGATTAAATTTAGAGTTTTCATCAAGTAATGACATCAGCTAAATTGTCAAGACACTATTTGACCAAATGGGTGAGTGAATTTCACACTGAAATCCACGACTTATTATACTAAATTTGATTGGTTCGTCCATAAATTATAGTCTCTCCATTATTCTCATTATGTAGTTTACAATGAATCACCTAATTCTAACAATCATATGTGAATATCTTCAATCAACAAACAATTGTTTTTATTTATAAAATAATATAACAATTTAGTTCGATTTAATCTCTTCAACAAGAGTATTTTTGAAAGAAGAAGAAAACGCGCGTTTGGTCCTATTTGGGACTCGTCAGAAGAATGTACCTGAGTCTCAGAATTGATGTTCACTCTACAACTCGAACACAGTACCGTTCGACTCAAACGCCATCGCGTTATCCACTAAGCTACTGAGTCCTGATAGCCACTTAGTTGTGTAATGAGGTGACGTTTGAATTCACTTAGTATTGTTTGTTTGAATCCTCCCATTGATGTTTAGGACTGCAACTGGTCAGTCTTTAATTGGCATATGCGCATACTGTGCTTATTGCCTCGATATAGCCTTAATTCACAATCATTTTAAGCAAAGATGGATAATGGCTGGCACTGAAATCTAGGACTATCAGGACTTTAGTAGCTGGATGGATAACGCGATAGCTTTTGAAGCGGAGGGTACTCGGTTCGAGTCCCAGAGTGAACATCAACTCTGAGATACAGTTACATCCAGTTGACGAGTCCAAAATAGGATGAAACGCGCGTCTTGGATTCCACTGGCAGCCATTATCCATCTTTGCTTACAATGCTTGTGAATTAAGGCTATATCAAGGGAATACACACAGTATGCATATATGCTAATAAGAGACTGACCAGTTTCAGTCCTAAACATCAATCGGAAGATTCAAACAAACAATACTAAGGGAATTATATTACTTAGAAAACAAAGAGGAATATGAAAGATGACATTTACTGGTTTTTCAATAGATGCTGTAAGAACCACTTCTCCTGAATAACATAAGAAATTGATTGTTTTATTAGTTGATTCAGCTACTGGATATAAGGGACGATTTATTAGTTTAGGTCCAGCGATATATCTTCTTAAAATAATTGTTACAGTGGAGCTAAAATAAAACCAGGAATAGGTAAACATATTAAAAGGTATGGGAATATTATAACTAGATGGTTAAATAATTTGCATAATAGATAGTCTTATAAAATTAGAAGGGGTTTTTGTGGAGATTTCAGTATTTTCATAGATACATGTCCTGGAGTTCTAGTGAGAAGCAGTGACCAGTGGAATTATACCACGTCTGTTGTGAGATAACGACACACTGAAGACAATTGGTGAACACCTACTCAAAACTTCGTGGATTGGTTGAAGTTAGACATTAACACCGTTGGATGCCAGCCAGCTCAGTGGTCTATCGGTCTAGTGATCTGGCACGAAACTGGTAGGTTCTGGATTCAAATCTCGCGACTGTGGGATCGTAGATGCGCACTGCTGAGGAGTCCCATATTAGAGCGAAACGGCTGTCTAGTGCTTCCAGATTTTTTATGGTGGTCTATCTTCAATTGACTCATGATTTCAATTATCTTATAAAATCAATTAATTGTTGATAATTGTTGACTAAAATTTGATCAGTTTTAATTGATGCATTCGTATCCTACTAGGATTGCTTTGAATGGCCACTATGACATTAGTTTATACAGAACTAATGAAATGTGGCTAGCAGTATCAACTCTGAGATGCAGACATATCTAGCTCATGAGTTTCAAAAACGACGGAAAGCACATTCTGGATTCCACTGTTAGCCATATGCTATCTATTCTGTGTTAAATTATTTCATAATGGCTATATTAAGGCGATCCGCACATAATGTACACATGACAAATCATGACTGTTCAAATTCCAGTCAAATTATCGACAGAGGAATAATCAAAACATTTCAAATTGAATTAAAACTCGTATTCATTGCATAAGTGAAGCGGCTATTTGGGCTCGGTAGCTATTTGAATAGTGCGATAGTGTTTGAAGCGAAAGTCTCTTGGTTTATCTATTCTTAATAAACCTCCTATAATTGTCCGAGATTTACCATATCTCTTATTGAAATGCCAATACTTGAATGACTATGTTTATACTAGGATTTGAACCAGGAAAATCTTTTTAACAACTAGAGCGCGTTACTCACTAAGTCACTAAAGCCATAAAATTGTTCATCAGGAGTCATTTATTTTGTCGATCACAGTGACTTTTATTTTTTCATTTTATTAACTCATTCCTAAACAGCAACAACGATACTTTTTAAAGTAGTTCTTTATTAAATAAAGTATGTATTATACCGCCACCAAATGCTCTGGTACGGACGAGAGTGGGGAGAGTTCGCTCTCCCTCTCGAAATGCTCTCACATGGCCACGCGTATACAGCCTCTGCCAGAAAAGTCCTACTCACTGCCTTCTCGTGGCATTACTGTTGTTTACCAAATTGAGAAGACAAAAAGGGAATGTCCGGCAGGAGCTGGACACGGAAAATTCACCTGAGGGAGTAGGAAAATCCTGATTGCAAACAAATGGTGCACATTGGCTCTAATATCCTGAGGGAATAAATGGCGTATGAATCAATCGTTGGTTACCGGCCACAATGGGACTGCATCTTCTTACGATGCTCCACAGTTTTATGAATCAGACCTTCAGGTCAAAGACTCCGGGTGTGGCTCCCTAAAAAAACCACATGCTTCAGTTCGGGCACCCGAGAAATATCACAGCCCTCAAACAGATCAAATGAGATTTGTGTGACGCATATATATCTGGTGCCTCTTTGTACCAATATTTATGTGTCTAAATAAATAAATAATGTAATATACCGGAATTAGTTGTGTTCTCATCAATGATGTTAAACAGTTTTCATTTCTAATCTATCTCATAACTGTCAGTTAGAATGATTTATTACATTAATGCTGTGGTGTGGGCTTCTTATATCCACACAAGTAGTATTTAACGATGGTCGGGCATTGAATGTATTTCAGTAGAAGATTGATAAGGAAAGAACCGAAACGAAACGCGATTGGTATGAAAATGCATGAACAATAATATTCAAAGACTATGGACTGATATATGCAGAAGGAATGGTCAAGACTGAGACAATTGATTGATAGTTCACAAATCAACTATTTACTGTATGGTTGTCGGATTTTAGTGAGATAGTCTGTACTCTCGTGTCAAATACATTCAATTGTCCCCACCTGTGTTGATTATTTAGTATAATTATTAATTGAAAACTCTCATTTTGGTAGAATTCTGTTCTCTGAGCTGGATAGTTTGGTCGTGAAGCCTTCATTGTTCTTCGAAACAACATCATCAGCATAAACTTCAAATAGAAGTGAAGTGTAAATATTTCTCCACATATGACTCACAGCTTGTTCTGTATACCTCAAACTTGATTGGTCATAGTTAAACTTCAACCTGTCATTGTCTTTTATTTATTTATCAGAAGGGGTTTTGTGGATATTTCAGTATTTTCATAATTGAAATCATGAGTCAATTAAAGCTAGACTTCCATGGAAAAACTGGAAGCACTGGATGACCGTTTCGTTTTATTTTGGGACTCCTCAGCAGTGCGAATCCACGATCCAGTGCTTCCAAGTTTTCCATGGTGGTCTAGCTTCAACTGACTCATGATTTCAACTATAAAAATACTAAAATATCCACAAAACCCCTTCTGATCTATAACCGTATGCTCACTAGTGACTGTTTTTAAGAGATATTTCCTGCAGTTCTAGTGCGAAGCAGTGACCGGTGGATTTCAACCAAGTCTGTTGTGAGATATCAACTCAATGAAGACAATTGGTGAGTGGTTGCACAAACTTATCATTAATTTATCAAAATTCTGGAACATAAAGAAGCTATATATGAATTATGCATCAACGAGTAGTTTTCTATGACACAGTTAGCAGAATTATAGTGTAGTGAACGAGAACATAATATCTTGGTGAAATCTGAGAACCATACAGCAAATAATTGATTTCCAAAATGTCAATCAATTTTATCAGACTTGACTGATACTTCTTTCCACACCAATCACTCTATGATCTCGTTCATTTCTTTTCGATCTTCTTAACCTTCTGCCTCCAGGTATTTCACATTCGATTAATGATACATACTACTTATATCTATCGACATCAGTAGCGCGCACTATAATAGTAATAAGCATTTACTCAATAAATGAATTCTTGTAAAATCCAGGCCGGTTGGAAAATGGAAAGTATATCAATAAAGTTATATGATATTTATACATCACAAATTGGCTTAACTCAAAAATGTACACTTCTAGAGTATTGACATGGTAACAAAATGTTTTCTTGCACTAAAAGTGATAGAATTATTTCACTTATATGATGTAGAACATGAATGTAGACATAATCGTACCGGGTTACATTTTGGTTCTTCCTGTTCTTTTCTAACTATTTTTCAGCAGTAACTAGTCTTTTTTTAAACGTCTGGTTTTCAAATAACAACTTGCAATTTCATACTTTGTCTCAGCTACTACGATTTCTTTAAACCTCAGAAAAATAAGCAGTTTGAATCATTGGTGTTTACAATTGATTGACCAATGGGTGGTGATGAATGTCATATGTGTCAGGTCCTTATCAGTGCAAATCGAATCCTATCGACCAAGTTGCAATGTGACAGTTAGTCTGGGTAACTGGACATTGCGTGTACTATTTCGAGATAAGGTGGTTGTTAAAGATAGTCAACAGGAAACCCTGGACCCATGTTTCATGCTACTTCGCACTCGTCAGAAAAGTGTACCTGTAATCTTAACGGAACTGATATTCCCTGACATTCGATTTCATGTCATCCAGCTTCAGAATCAGAGACGTTGCCACTGAGCTATTCAGGCCGCAACTGACCTCCCGTAGGTGTGAGATGTATATACAATTGATTGATCTCTGGGTGATGATCAATGTTATGTATGTCAGGTGTGTATATAAACATTCATTAAGTAAATTAATCACATTATTACTAATCTGTAAAGCAGATTAACTCTAAATCGATCAAATCGACTTATTACAACAAATTAACTATTACAGTATTGTTTCTGGAGATAAACTAATTAAATTGAAATAAAAGCACTAATGGGTCATTCAACGTAACGTACCTAATTGGTTGACTGGTATGAAGTTTTTGACCAGCGAATGCAGTCAGTGTATAACTGACACCGTATAGCTAGAAAAAATATACATATCAAAGGAACAAAGAGAAAGCGAGGAGATGTAAAGAGAAAGAATGTTAAGCAACTGAAAAATTCAGATCATTTCTTTTCAATATAATTTATATCTTTCATAGTTGAAATCATGAGTCACATCCACGTGTATGCGAACTCCTGAGGAGTCCCATACTAGGATGAAACGGTCGTCCAGTGCTTACAGGTTTTCCATGATGGTCTAGATTCAATTGACTCATGGTTTCAACTATGAAAGATACTAAAATCTCCACAAAACCCCTTCTGATGATAATTAATATCACTAAAAGAATTTATTCATTAAAGAATTCAAGTAATTGATCAAAAATAAAGACATAGAAACGTCTGCTGTTTAATGCTTTCAGTATTTCAATGGATGTCTTAGTTCGATTCATCATATCAGTAACAAACAACTAGTGTGGTAAACAGAGATGGATAGTGATTAGCAGTGGAATGCAGGACGCGCGTTTCGTCCTATTTGGGACTCGTCAGCTGTATCTGCATCTCAGAGTTGATGTTCACTCTGGGACTCGAACCCAGTACCCTCTGCTTCAAACGCCATCGCGTTATCCACTCGGCCACTGAGTCCTGATAGTCACTTGCTTGTGCGATGGTGTTCCGCTGCTAGCCACTATCTATCTCTGCTTACCATGCTTGTGAATTAAGGTATATCGAGGCAATACGCACAGTATGCACATATGTCAATTAGAGACTGACCAGTTGCAGTCCTAACACATCGATGGGAAGATTCAAAGAAACTATACTAAATGAATTTAAACAACTAGTGGTAATTTGGCTAGTGGTCTGAGTTACTTTTATTTATTTCAACAATTAGGAACAGTCATAGATTTTACTGATAGCTATCATGTGATTCTGCCTATAATGCTTGTGACTTTAGGCAATATCAAGGCAATCCGCGCATGATGCACATATGCCAAAACTGACTGATCAATTGCAGTCCTAAAAATCAATGAGAAGAATCAAACAACCAATAGAAAAATGAATTAGAAATGGTGCCATTGAAATGTTCAAATGAATTGAAGAAACTCGTCATAAAATTAAAAATGAGAAAATAACTAGAAAGATCTATTCAAGTGTTGGATAATAACATTAATTATGTACAAAAAAAAGATAAATAGTTATATAAGGGAACACAGACGACAAGTGTAGTGATTAGAAAACAACGTCCAGTGCTTCCAGGCTTTCCATGGTGGTCTACCTTTGATCGACTTCAATTGGTTTCAACTATATAAAATTACTTAAATATCCACAAAACCCCCTTCTGCTTCAATTATATATTGACCTTTGTGAATATGATTTTTAATACAGTAATGTTAAATGAAAGTACAAGCCATTTTAAGGGTTAGATTAATGAGGGGAGGTGTGCAAACTTTACGAACATAGAGATTTGGTTAACCAAAATAAATGTTGTTGTCTTCAAAGATATCCCTGAAACCCATACGTATGTTAGTGGAAAGTTCAATTATTCGTTTTCCAGGTAAATGATTAATCATGATATAGTGTTATCACAGCTTAGATTGATATCAAGAATGGATCAATGTTAGATCACTATCGAAGATCTGGAAGCAATGGACAACTGTATCATCCTAGTATGGGAATCTTTAGCAGTGCGTATCCACGATCACTCACGTGAGACTCGAATTCAGGACCCACGGTCTCGCACGTGAACGCTTAGACTCTAGAGCTATGAGCAGGCATTCGACAGTGTTAATGGCTGACTTCAATCGATCCGTGATTTTGCACAACTTTTCATCTATTATTTGAGGTAGATAACTGTCTCACACCGGACACGAATTGAACTCCAATGGTTGCGGCTTCACTCTAGAACTCCAGGAAATACATCTTCAAGCTATTCACATAAGGAGTCCCATACTACGACAAAACAGCTGTCCAGTGTTTCTAGGTTTTCATTGGTGGTCCAACATTGATACCTTCATGATATCAATCTATGCTTAACAATTTCCAAAACCCTATACTGATTATTATCAAAGCATTGGAATCATTTCTTATACAGATATCTGTTTAAAGATTGATGGAAAAATTATACCTAGGTAATTATTCTTTAGATTATTAATCTTATATTATTAGAGGATTTATTATATACCTTTCATTACTACTAGTATAGAGGATTTGTGAAATCTCTAATTGATTTTTGTTAGACCACGATTGAATACCTAGTAGAACTGGACTACCGTTTCGTCTTAGTATGGAGTCCCTTATCAGTGTACATCCATTTTTATGCGACCGGAAATTCAACCCAAAAATTATGGGCTCGCGCACGAACGCTTAACCTCTAAACTATTGAACCCTAATCTATTAGCGTTACTATCGAACTTTGATCATGTGAATTATAATCAATTGTTATGCTTTCAGCCTCCCTCACGAGGGGGGGTGCTGTTGGAGGACTATGAGCAAACGGTTTTCTTCAGATTAGCAGAGATGGATAGTGGCTAGCAGTGGAATCCAGGATGCACGTTTCGTCCTATTTGGGACTCGTCAGCTGGATGTACCTGCATCTCAGAGTTGATGTTCACTCTGGGACTCGAACCCAGTACCCTCGCTTCAGAGTTTATGGCATATATGAAAATAAACTCATGAAGATGAACTATTCATTGATATAGATGTAGGCAATACACCACTAGTTCTGTCACTGTTATTTAGCTCAAGATATTTTCATTTCTTGATAAAAGACAAAGCTGATGAAATCCTACTTATCGATTTATTTCTTTTGATGTTTGATACAAACAAAATGAAAACTTTGGGTCAGTTTACCTAGATTGGGTAAAACTAATGTCAAACAAAAGTCTTTGTTCTTTATTATATAAATAACAGAACATTTGTTCTGTTTTCAATGCAATGTTAAGGTTGATTCATTCATCTGGAAAAATTATATTTAATAATAGATTGTTTTACAAAACTGTTTAATACTTTAAATTGACATAGTATTGTTTATTTGTATCTTCACATTGATGGTTTTGGGATTACAACTGGTTAGTCTCTTATTGGCCATATGTGCATACTGTGCGTATTGCCTCGATATAGCCTTAATTCACAAGCATGGTAGCAGAGATAGATAGTGGCTAGCAGTGGAATCCACGACGCGCGTCACTTCATCCTATTTGGGAGTTGTCAGTTGGATGTACCTGAATCTCAGAATTGATGTTCACTCTACAACTCGAACCCAGTACAATTCGCTTCAAACGCCATCGTGTTATCCACTCAGCTACTGAGTCCTGATAGCCACTTGGGGTGAAGTTTGAATTCACTTAGTATTGTTTGTTTGAATCTTCACATTGATATGGATAACGCAATGGCGTTTGAAGCGAAAGGTAATAGGTTCGAGTTGTAGAGTGAACATCAACTCTGAGATACAGGGACATCCAGCTGACGAGTCCCAAATAGGACGAAACGCGAGTCCTGGATTCTACCGACTTTGCTGATGTAAATAGGTGAATAAAATAATGATGCTTTTATGATATAAGAAATTACTTTTTTGCATGTAGTTTATTCACAAGATTGAATTGGTAATAACATGCAGAGGAAAACTGAATTAAAGGATAATCGTTGAAGAATCAAGGTTTATTTTGTATCTTTTTTAATCGAAACAATTTGTTCTGAGTAGAGAAAAATCAATTCAGATGATAATTCAGAGATTAAGTACGTGCCTAAAATAGGTGATCACTGGAAGTTTTAAAGTACTGGGTAGCTGCTTTGTCTTACCATCGAACTATTCAACAGTACTTATCCACAAATCCACCTCAGATCGAAATCAGGACGTTTGATCTTATAGCAACCATCCTACAATCAATTTCGATTATAGCCAATTTTGGTTAAGCCCTTTTTTATAACTTACTTAACAGACATTGTCATTAGGATAGTAACAATTTGCATATTCTTTGCACTGCTATACCACTAGAGCACATGACACTCTAGCCGAAATGTTGACTGCTTAAATATCATTCGATGACTCATACTCCTCCCCATATATGTACGCACACAAATATTATTATCAGCCTTTGTTTTGCTTTGCTGTGCCCTTATTAAATTTGACTATAAATTGCCTATGTAATTGCTTGCTACTCTCTCGCTCGCTCGCTTGCTCCTCGTTCATTTCCTTTGCTTGTTTGCCTGTTCACTCGCTCGTTCATATTCGCTCAGGTGTTGTTAGCTTTCGAACCTGAGTCATTCGACAATAAACTGTAGTTGCTGCTATCCTTTGTCTTCTGATTTTACGCACCGTTAAGTTTAGAATTATAACGGTTATCGAAGTAAACGGTTAACGAATCGCGGCACTACAGAATTGGAGGCCTCGCCGAACAAGCACGACGCAATAGAATTGGATATCTCGCCGAACAAGCACGACGCAATAGAATTGGATATCTCGCCGAACAAGCACGACGCAATAGAATTGGATATCTCGCCGAACGAGCACGACGCAATATATTTGGTTACCTCGCCGTACGAACACGACACTACGGAATTGGATGCCTCAACGAGCGAACGCAAAACAATTTTCGACGAGATAATTTCATTTTGAAAATTCAACGTACTCTGTTTCTATTCGAATTATTATCTGGATTATAATCATAATTGTGGATTTATTATATCACAATTTTAATCGCACGTTCATCATCCCATAAGCATTATTGAACTTAACGATAATATTCATAATAAATAACGATTATTCACGAACAATTGATATATTGGTGCAATTTAGTAAGTCTGTTCCATTTTATATATTGTACCTTTTGTTATTATCATTTTTTTCATCGATTCATTTCTCTTAGTGACAATAACGTTATATTCGCATACTATTTAATTTATTATTATTATTATTATTATTATTATTATTATTATTAGTAATGTCTTTAAATAACGAAACAATCGATCTTTCACAGTCACCATCCGTGGGAGTTATTAATGTTACTATTCCCTCTTTTAATGTTACTGATCCTCAACTCTG